ACTTATTCTTAACTGTCTTAACTGCAAACAGAACCCTTAACCTGCCAGGTCTATTTTTCCTGTTTTGGTCTCACATTAACTTGCAAGATGTATTGTTCTTATTCCTGTTTTGGTCTCACGTTTACTTCTGGAGTCTTAAGGAGCCTCCCGTTGAAACATCCTGTGACTGAAGGAGCATCCCTGAAGGATGGAATGTATCAACTCACAGGTATTGTTATACAACAATGATAAAAACCGTCTACAAAGTATCTGCAACTGGGCAGCAGGGTTGAATGGGGTCCTGGTAGCCTGGGGTTCTGTAGACCTTGAAGTCTGTATCAATAACCATGTTTTGGTCCAAAGAAGGGTTGTATATGGGAGGCAGAGCCAGGCGAACCTCTGTGAGTTTGAGGCCAGCCTGGTCTACAGAGCGAGATCCAGACAGGCACCAAAACTACACAGAGAAACCCTGTCTCGAAAATACCAAAAAAAAAAAAAAAAAAAAAAAAAGGTTGTATATAGCCTGGGAGAAGTATAGAATATATCCACTCCACCAAGGTGTCATACCTGACTGTCTGTGAGTCTAACTGCTGGGTGAGGCCATGGCTGAGAGGACAGAGGTGGGGAAAGGCTGCAAAGCCAAGAGAATGCATCAGTCAACAGTGTGTGACCCCTTCCCAACCCAAATATTTCAGGCGCCGGAACCATCTCCTGTAGGGCCTAGGAGGCTCCAGAAACTTCCTCTCACACATAGTATCCACTTGAAACTAGTTTTTCCAGGTGGGTGTTGTGAGGCTGTCTTAGTCAGGTTTTCTATTGCTGTGAAGAGACACCATGACCACAGCAACTCTTATAAAGGAAAACATGTAATTGAGGTGGCTTGCTTACAATTCAGAGATTCAGTGTATTATCACGATGGGACATGGCAGCATGCAGGCAGACATGGTGCTGGAGAAGTAGCTGAGAGTCCTAGGTCTTTTAGGCAACAGGAAGTGGTCTTTCTCATTAGGTGTAGCTTGAGCATATATGAGGTCTCAAAGCCTGCCTCCACAGTGACACACTTCCTCAAACAAGACCACATCTACTAATAGTGCCATTCTCTTTGAAGGCTATTTTCTTTCAAACCACCAAATTCTACTCCCTGGCCCCCAAAGGCTTGTAGCCATATCATAATGCAAAAATGTATTCAATCCAACTTCAAAAGTCCCCATAATCAGCCGGGTGGAGGTGGCACATGCCTTTAATCCCAGCACTCGGGAGGCAGAGCCAGGTGGATCTCTGTGATCGAGGCCAGCCTGGTCTACAGAGCGAGATCCAGGAAAGGCGCAAAGCTACACAGAGAAACCCTGTCTCGAAAAACAAAAAACAAAAACAAAAACAAAAGTCCCTGTAATCTATCACAGTCTCAGACTTATTTAAAAGTCTAAAGTTCAAAGTCTCTTCTGAGATTTATGCAATCTCTTTAACTGTAATCTCCTATAAAATAAAATAAAACAAACCCATCACATACTTCCAACTTATAATGGCACAGGATATACAAAATCATTGCAAAACATAGGAAGGGAGCATAGTGAGGAAATACTGGATCAATGCAAGACCAAAACCCAGCTGGGCAAACTCTAAACTCTGCCTCTCCATGTCTGACGCCAAAATGCTCTTCAGATCTCCAACTCCTTTCAGCTTTGTTGACTGCAACACACTTCTCTCTCAGGCTGGTTCCACTCCCTGTTAGCAGCTCTCCTTAGTGGGTGTCCCATGGCTCTCCAGTATCTTGGGGTCTCCAAGGCAATTCAGGCTTCAACTTCGCATCTTCACACAATGGCCTCTCTAGCCTCCATTCAGGGACACCCTGACACCTGCCTGGCCTCAGCAGCTTTATTCCATACCCCCTTTCTTCTATTCTTGACTCTAAAGTCAGAACCATGAGGCCAAAGCTGCCAAATTCTGCTGCTTATTGGGGCTGGAACATGGCCCCCCTTCAATTACATCTTCACCAGCTTTCTGTCCTTCACTGCCTAAGCTTTGCTGTCCTGAAACTGGATCTCTAGACCAGGATGGGCTCTAACTCAGAGATCCGCCAGCCTATGCCTTCTGAGTGTTGGGATCAAAGGTGTGCACCACCACACCCAGCTCTAAACTTTTCTTTAGTTCCTTTTTACAAGTTGGAAACAGCTGGGTGGAATCTTGCCCACTCCCTTTATTCCATTTCTTAATCCGTTTATCTCCTTGAACACAGGATTTTGCTCCATTCCACTTCCTGGTGTTCCCTTTCTCAATCTGTACATTTTATATTTTTATTTGCTCAGCTTGCTGCTTTTCATAAATCTTCATTAGAGTTAACACTAATAACCACATGACAGAGTCTACTAGGTTGTTTTGAGATTTCCTCTGCCAGTGGAATTACACTTGATCTTAGCCAAAAGGCCGAGAAGCGATTGCCAGTGGAATTAATCCAAAACCCTTCACTTTAGCCTCAGGCAGACTCTTCAGATAAGGACAAAAAGCAGCCACATTCTTCACCAAAATATCACAAGAATGATCTCTGGCAACATACTAAAATTCTTCCCCTTTGAAACCTCTTGAGCCAGCCCCCACAGTTCATTAAATTACACTCAGCACCACTGTCTTCCATGTTCCTATTAGGATGGCCCATTAGGCAGCACTTAAAGCATTCAACTGCTTTTCTAATCCATAGTCCCAAGGTCCATATTACTCTAAACAAAAACATGGTCAGGTCTATCATAGCATACCCCAGTCCCTAGTATCAACTTCTGTCTCGGTTAGGGTTTCTATTGCTGTGAAGAGACACCATGACCCCAGCAACTCTTAAAAAGGAAAACATTTAATTGGAGTGGCTTGCTTACAGTTCAGAGGTTCAGTCCATTATCATGGTGGGACATGGCAGCATGCAGGCAGTCGTGGTGCTGGAGAGGAGTTGAGAGTTCTCCATCTTTCAGGGAACAGGAAGTGGTCTGTTTCACGGGGTGTGGCTTGAGCATATATGGGATCTCCAAGTCCACCTCCACAGTGACACACTTCCTCAAACAAGGACCTGCCTCCTAGTAGTACCGTTCTCTTTGGGGGTTATTTTCTTTCAAACTACCACAGAGGGTCCTAGAATGAGGTTAAGTCTATAAAAATAAAGTTGAGACGAGGGCTTCCCGGTGGCTGAGTGTGGGTCTTGGCTCCTCTTTTGTCTCAAGGACAAGGACAACCACAGGTCCTCTCTGAGAATCATCAGGGATCAGAAAGCTCCAATTGTGTCAGTGGTGAGAGGGCTCAGAGGGCTGGTGAAGTGTCGGTGTTCACTAGTGGGACTGTCTCTAGCTCTGATAACAGGACCTTTACAAGCCGAACACACGGGTGGGCTGCTGGAGGCAGGAATGAGTCGATGAGTGAACAACATTCCCCCTCATCCTGGGACTCAGTACCCAGTGGTTCATCCCCTGTCTCCCAGGATGTATGAGGAGGAAGGAGCAACAACAACAGGTCCTAGACATGGCTACAGCCATGACTGGACAAGGCTGGTAAAAGTGCCTGTGTCCACAGAGGCCTGCCCCACCCCTTTGGCAGAGGACGATGTTGGTCAATGAGGTGGGGGAAAGATTAAGTTCCAGCCTCTGCCCAGCTGATTAGGACTGGTGACGTCTGTTCCACGTTAGGGAGAGAAGGGGCATGGGCTCATTTGAGATGTGGGTGCCCACCATCATTTGTGACTTGCAGACAAGGTGACTTGCTCAGTGTTACCCAGTGCATGGGATTCAAGGGCCAGGAAACTTCCAGCTTTTTGTCGGAGAATGAGCATGTGGGAACGGCTCTTGGGTCACCCTGGAGTCCCTTCTGGCTACGGTTTGGATATGAGTGTCATGTACTATTCACAGGCTGAGATACTAACTCCCCAGGTGATGTGGGGAGGTGGGGCCTTTGGGGACTATAAGTTCTTTATGAAAGGGCTTCAGAGAGCTCCGTTTACCTTTTGCCACGTGAGGTCAGAAGGAGAAGGCACTGTCTGTGAGCCAGGAAACGAGCCTTCAGCAGGCAGAACTGGCCGGAGCCCTTGGACTCTGCAGTTTTGGAATGTGTAAAATAGGAATTTCTGTTGTTATTAGACACCCAAAGGATGGCATCTTGTACTGTAGCCCACCAGAGTAAGATGCTTCTGGATTCATTGCCTAAGGCTGCAAGGGATAAGGTCCTGCATGCTGAGTGGCTGAAACAATAGAACTGGTCCTCTCATGTCTCTGAAGCTGAAAGTCCAAAGGCAGGTTATCACCAGGCTCTTCCTAAGGATTCTAGAGGAGGACCTGACACAAGATGCCTTGGCATAGAGATGGAGGCCTTTTCTTGACGTGCCTCATCAACAGCGTCTGTTCAATTTTTCCATTTTCACAAGGACACCAATTTACTGGCTCAGGGTCCCATCCCTGGTCTCATTTAAGCTTAATTACCTCCTGATAACTCCTGTCTGGACATAGAGGCCCATAGGAGAACACAGCTCCAGCGTGTGAGTGAGGTGTAGTTTACTCGGTAGCAGGCACCCGTGCAGTGGGCAGAGAGCAGAGAGGGCAGGAAGATACGCCCCCTGCTACTTTTTCTTTTTAAAGCTGCTTTGTTCTAGGACAGAAAGACCCAAGTTGAAGGCTCTTCAGAGCTTAGAAGGCATCAGAGCACCCCACTCCCTCTGAGACCCTGGTTTCCTGCTGTGTGAAGAGGTGCTTTTATGCCCTGAGGATGCATGCTCTTGTCCCAGTTCACTAGGCATTTAAACGTGAACAAGAAATCTTTTTCTGAGAGGCTCAGCTTCTCAGGGGAGTTGAGGTCACTCTCCCTCAGGGAGACGAGTCCACCAGCCAGCTCCTGGGTTCTGGTCCACAAGTTTCTAGCAGGTGCTTCCTCGCAGTATGCTTCTACGGGACAAAGGCAGAGCCACCAAGGCTGCCATCAGACCATTCTGGTAAGTGACCTGCAGAGCCCAGAAAGCCTGGGAGGGTGGTGAGCAGGGACCAGCGGTGCAAGGACCCTCTTCTCAAAGCAGGGAGGAGAGCGTTTCCCAGCTGGCACGGGCCCCAGGAGCAGTGGCCGTGGGAAGCAGAGTGCTGCCGGTCATCAGCCATGGCCTGGACTTCCGTCCTGCTCATGCTGGTGGCCCACCTGGCAGGTAAGGATCTCTTGGGGCCCAGAGCCTCCTGGCCCCTCCTCTTGCCTTGCTCTGCCCCGGTGATGGCCACAGTTCTGTCTTCTCAGGTTGTGGCCCTCAGCCCACGCTGCATCAGCCACCGTCTGCCTCTTCCTCGCTTGGAACCACCATCCGCCTCTCCTGTGCCCTGAGCAGCAACCATAACATCAACATTTACAGCATTTACTGGTACCAGCAGCATCCAGGCCACCCTCCCAGGTTCCTGCTGAGATATTTCTCACGCTCAGACAAGCACCAGGGTCCCAAGATACCCCCTCGCTTCTCCGGATCCAAAGACATGGCCAGGAACCTGGGGTATCTGAGGATCTCTGAACTGCAGCCCGAGGACGAGGCTGTGTATTACTGTGCCATGGGGCTCCGGAGCCAGGAAAAGGAGAACTGGATGGAGAGGGAGAGAGGAGGAGAAAAGTAGTTTACAGATTCGAAATCCCAGGCTCTGGAGACATTCAGACCCTAAACTGAAGGTGCCCTTTGCTTTGCTCAGTTAGGCTGATATAGGGAGGAGGGGTAGAGCATTGGGGCTTCACAGAGCCAAGAAGATGGAGCCATTCAGCTTTTCCATGTCTTGCAATGTTGCTGTGAGCCCCACTGGAGGCTGGATTATAGAATTAAAGCTGTTTTTCTGAGTTAGGCTTGGCTGGTTTGTGATATCAGAACCAATGTCATAACTGGCCAGTCCCCAGAACCTGACTAGTCATTCTCAGATGGGCCAGGCACCATGAACAGCATACTCATTATGATCACGGGTAAGTGGATGACAGAAACATCTTGGAGGGGGACCTCCTTGCCAGGGACAGCGTCTTCTATTGTCACCCTCACAGTCATAGAGGAAAGTTTAGGAAACACCATCATTGGCCCTCTACTTTGGGGGAGAGCAGATGTCAAGTGACAGGCTTAGAGCAGGTTCCGCTCCCTGGTACTAGTGATGGTTTGGGATGGGGCTGCCTTGTCATGGAGCTGCCTTTGTGTTGTGGGTGTTGAGCAACTTCTCTGGCCTCTGCTACCAGATGCAGTACACAGCACATGCCCCCCACTGTCAGTGATGACAACCACAGATGGATCCAGATATCAGTAAAGGTCCCCAGGGTGAGCTACATCTACCTTTGGTGCAGGGGAGTGATAGGCCAGCCGGCATTTTCTCAAAGGCCAGATTGTTACCAGCCTTGTCGTTGTGGACCATATGACTGTTGAAATACCCAGTTCTATCTTTGGAGCAAAGCAGCAGCCTCAGGCAATGGGTGAATGACCAATGCGGCCACCAGCAAAGCTAATTGAGAGGAGCAGGCTGGGCAGGGCAGGATGTGGTCCTCACCAGCTCCTGCCTGGGTTTCAGCAATCCCTGCTTGGGGTGTCATTAGGGGCCTCCTCAGCTTTTGGGTTCCGAGTCATGGCCTGTGGAGAGACCTTGAAACATGAGGTGCATGGTCCACTGAAGCCACATTAGGCTTGTTGGCTGCAGATGGATGGGAGAGTTCACAGAGTCCGGGCCACAGTGTGGTGTCTGGGACTTCAGGGAGGCAGTCTAGAATGTGCCCTAAGAGTGAGATGTATGTGAGGTGTCTGTGCTGTATGGACATGCTTTGCCTCAGGGAGGTGCCAGGCCAATGGTGTCTTTTGTGGCTTCAGACATGGTTGAGAACACCTGTTTACCACTGCTATATGATCCCAAGGGTCCCCTCCTGGGAAGTGCCTCCTGAGGCCCATGACTCTCCCGATCTGTGAAACAATGGCCTCAGCTTATGTCATGCTCTGGCACCCTCTGGCTTCCATGCCTCGGATCACCAAGTTCTTTGCGTGTGGCCTTCGCCCTGTGGAAAGGATTCTGGGAGCACGATTTTCAAGGACAGTTAGTGGTCTTCCGCTCTTGTTTCTCACCGTCTGAGGTTCCAGCTGTAACAAGGAATCCAGGCAGCAGGGGAGGCTTGGCCTCCTCCACCGTCTGGTTCCTCCTATCCCACCAGCTCCAAGGAAGATGACATCTTAGAGTTGGCTTGCCAGAGCAAAGACCTACCTGAGTCTGGCCTGAAGCCCAGTGCTTCCTTTATATGGAAAGGGAAATATTTGTATTTATTATTACTTTATTTATCATGTTTGTGTGTGTGGATGGATGCCCACGTGCCATGGCACATGAGAGACGGTCAGAGGACAACTTGAGGGGGTCGTTTCTCTTTCCCATCATGTGTGCCTGAGGGGTCAAATCTGGTCCTAAGACTTGGCAGCAAACGCCTTCACCTGCTGAGCTGAACCCTCTTGACGGCCTAACACTGACTAATTTACGTGAAATGCTTAACTAGCTTTGCCTGTCATGGGTGTGGCCTCTTCTTCCTTCATGTCGTGTAATTATCTACCTTTTATCTGAGTTGTGTCTCACCCAACCTCCAATGGGCTTCCTACCGCTCACTCTGCCTTAGCCTTGCCTTGTCCCCTGTCCTTACCGTCCCTTTGTCCAGACCCGCCTTCACTTTACCTACTGACTGCTTCCTGTATTCTAAGGCACAAGGCAAGCCACATCCACAGTCCCCAACTTCTAGTGGCTACATTCAAATAAAGTGACCATGTGCATTGGCATGGTCTGTAGTCCCCGCTACTTGGTAGCTTGAGGCAGGAGATCACTTCAGTCCAGGGGTTTTTAGCCTGGGACAAAGTGAGACTTCCCATCTCTGAAAAATAGTTTTGAAACAATAATAAAAAAGTAAGAAGAAACAGGAAAAATGATTTCTAAGATGTATTTTATTTAACACAACATGTCCCAAATATAATCATTTTAATGAGCAACCAATATCACAGGCACGTATGAGCATTGTTTTTTCTTTGGTACTCCATCTTTGAAATCCAGTATGTATTTTACAGTTGTGGTTTGTTTATCTCAGCTCAGACCCCCAGCAACTGCATATGGTGCATGAAAAGAGCACAGATTGGAGGGACAGAATTCAGGTTCCTCATCATCCAGCCCTTGGAGGCTGGTCAGAGCCTGTGCTGAAAGTCCCTTCCAGCTGCGCGGTCCATTTCTGCCCTGTTCAGCTAACTGCCACTGATCAGGTGCCTGGTACGCTTGGGCGCCTCCAAACCTTCACTTAGCCTGTTTGCACTGGGAGGATTTCCTGTTGCTGGACTGTGTCCTCCCTCTGCAGGGATGCAAGGCTCCCCAGCGATCTCACCTCCCCCTCCTTGGGCAACGGTTTCCTGGCCGCTCTGCAGTTGTTACCTCCCTCCAGTGGGCAGACAGCCTGTTTTCCTAGTTACAGTTAGCACCTGCCTCACAGCTCTGGCTTTATTTAGCAAGACTCTTACACTAGACTGCAAATTCCCAGCTGGCTGGAGTCTCTGTGTGTGTGATAGACACTCTAGGTGGGAAGACAGGCGGGAATGAGTAATGAATGCACGAGTGAGGGAATTCTTGGCTACTCTCATTAGGATCTCATTGGGACCCCACAGTGGCAGGGGTCACTGTGATTCCCTGAGACTGGGGAGAAGCAGCCCAGATTCACATTCACACTCTCTCACTGTCTGTACGTCTGTCTCTCTGTTGTTTCTGTCTGTCACATTACTATCCTCTGATATCTGACAAATGAAACAAGTGACTGAATGCTGTAACCAAGAGGGGCCTGGAAAAGGAAGCTTAAAGGAGGTGAATGTGCAGAAGGAATGCAGGGAACCTTCTGAGCCTGAGCCAGAGAGTGGGTGGGGAGGGCGGGTTCCCAGAGTGTCAGGACACACTACCCAGTACTGCAAAGACTTTAGGATCTCTGCTTCAGGATCAAGAGGACTCCTGACTCCTGGCTGTGGGGTTCTGAAATGTGAGCTATGCACACACCTTCCAGATTCAACAGGAAACAGAACCAAATGAACGGACATGTTGCCAGTGACTCAAACATGAGACCCTGGGGGAAGGGATTCGAGGAGCTTCTGGGGGTCTTACAGGGTGGCACTTAGAATGAAAAGGGTCCAGAAGGGCAGTGCGGTTGTGGTGTCTGGGTTGGTAATTGAGCTAGGAGAGGGGCCTGTGTGGAGGAAGAGCATGGAATCAGCACACGGGGCACCAGGACATGGGCCCTTCCATCCTAAGATGCATCTTGGTGACGGACGCTCACTGTCCAACCCGCTTGTTCCTTTTACTGCTCTTCTTTCACGGGTTAACTAAAAAACGCTACAGAGAACCGTCCAGGGCCAGGAAGACAGCCCACCGGCTAAAGCAGTTTTTACACAAGCATGGGGACCTGAGTTTGGTCCCCGGAACATAGGTAAAAGCTGGGCACAGCAGCTCACACCTGTGACCCCAGTGCTCCTACGGGAGCTGGAAGGTCCAGGAAGGAGAATCCTAAGACGTTCTCAGGCCAGCCAGCCTGGCATCTGAAGCAGCTAGCAAGAAAGAAATGAAGAACCAACATCTGAGGTTGACCTCTGACCTCCACGTGCATGCAGTGGCACGTGCACACCCACACTCACACACACAAATGGGCTTGTGAGTACACACATAGGTGCACACACATAATACATGTGCATCATAAAAACACGAAGGAAAAAAAAAGAACTTCCTCCAAACTGAGAGCATGGCGGTACACTGCTGCACCCCAGCCCGCTGGAGAACGAGGCAGGAATCCAAGTCGAGGCAGGCTAAAGCATCCTCCTGCTCATGCGTCAACCATCGTTACAAAGAGCAGTGAGTACAGAAACTGAAGAACTGAAGACATGGTTGCTCCACAGTCTGGCTGAAGGGAAGGTTTTTATTAGAGATCTGAGGGAGTACAGACAGAGGCATCTGGAAGGGTCCAGAGCAGAGGGTAAGGTGGTAGACTGAGAATGGCCAGCGTACTGGGTAATGGCGGGTGGCGGGGAGAGGGCAAAGGAGCCCAAGAGTGAGGGGCAGGAGAGGAAGACAAGAGAGAGAGTGGCAGAGATGACTGACTACAAGGGGTTGAGAAGCTGGGGAGGGAAGACCACGAGCGAGTGAGCAGGAGACATTTGGGGTGGGGGTGGGGTGAGAGCTGAGGGGAGCCACCTGTACTTAGGGCAGCTGACTCTGGGGTGCTTGTTAGCACACCATAGCGCATGCTCACCTCCAGGCTTGCTCAGCCTCTGAGTTTCTTTTGGATCTGACAATGATAAGGAAATGCCTGGGTCGTTTTCCTCTCCTTAGCAACAGACTCAGGAGAAAAGCAAAAGTGGGTATGTTTCATGATTTTCTTTAAGAGATATAATTGAATGAAAGACCCCTGCATTGATTACACATTAGTAAAAACAGAGCCACGCAGAATCCATGAACAAATAAAGTGGGAAAGGCTGATGTGCCAGTGCCCACAGTCTATGACACTGGACGGCTCTGGCGAGACTGAGAAGTTTGGCATCCTCTGCTGGTCACCCCACTCCCACCCCGCCCGGAGCAGATCCAGGCAGCATGTTGAGAACAAAGATGTTCCCAGGGTAGAATTCTTTCAGGTAAGAATGAATTTTCCCTAAGGAATTTTCTGAAGGGGAATAGAAATGCCCTGAGCATCAGAGTCCCTGAGGACAGGGACCAGCAAAGCATGGGCATCTGTTTAGAAATATGAAAATAAATATCTCTAATTGCCTTA